ACTTTGGAATCATCCCTCGTAGTTATACGAAAGAGATTCGCTAATAATTGTAATCAGGTGAAGAGAAGATTGTAAAAATAATGAGTTAATAGGATAGTGGAGAATTAAATTAGTAAAACATATTCATACATATTACATCAATATAATACCGGAGAAGTGAAGATGGAAAAGCACAGAAAATTAAAGTTCAGTTACGAGGTGCATAAAGAAGACATACAAAAAATATCAAAACTTTAGGGCGATAAGAGGCTGTTTTTTATTTAAATATCGGCCAGTCATCGTCGTATGGATGGTTCCGATGAAGAAGCAGTTAGTTTAGTTTTAAAAAAAACGTCGGTAGTTATTTCCGTTTTTCGCTGGTGTGGATCTGTATCCGGTGGATTTGTTAACAAAATCACGAATAATCGGTTCAGGTTCAAAGTCGCCGACCAGTGGCGCATCAAGCGACAATAAAAACATCGATTAATCAACCTCGCAAAGTAGTAATTAACAGCATTTACTATTCATACTTCTCGTATTCTACAACCGCTAAGCAATTCATAAAATTCATAAATAATTAGATTAAATGTTTGTTAGGTACATTGCAATTCTTCAAGTGGGTTATGTGCGTTCGATCTACGTCCCTGTCGCGAGTATTCATAGGTGTGTATGCGTGCCAAAATAAAGGAAAACACCCAGACGGATGATTATTAGCTGAAAAGTAGACCAGAGGATGAGCGAAAAACTTCTAATTCGACATCAAACGTTTGCGAAAGCGCCGAATTTTCGTCAAATTATTTCGCATTTAACCTCCTTCTACCGGTCGATAAAATAAAATTAATCGCCGCGTTACAACAATCGACGAAACAAGTTGAATGGAGACCAAAAAATATAAACTCGAATAATGTTTTAGTAAATTTCAATTACTTCTATAAAGTGAAAATAAAAATTTGGGCAAATGTCCAGGAACTTTTTCAATAATCGTACCAGGAAAGGTATTAAAGTTTAATCAAACGCTGGGAAAACCGAGCGGAAAAATCAATTAATCTGGAAAAACAATTATTTGTTTTTATGATTTTCGATGCACTTTTTATTATACGAACCAGCTGGTGTTGGAAATTAATTTTATTTCAATGTATGTATAGGTAACCGCGAATCGATTGCAAAGTAAATTATTCTGGTTAATTCTGGATTCTGCATGATTAAATTTCTTTATTTTCGTAATAAACAACGCGGTAACATTTGCATTTAAACATTTGGATTTCTGGAAGGGATTATGCATTTCATAAATTTCTCTTATTTAGAAGTTCCCATGCATCCTTGTAGAGACAGGCCGATTTACTTATCAATGGAAGTGTGAGAAACATTCAATATACCTGTCGAAAAAAAAATGATTCCTCACAATGAGGAATAGTAAAATCGTGTTCCGGACGTCAGAAAGCGGATTACCCTAAATATACCTGCCCCCATTCATAATTCCGGCAGCATTTTTCTGGTTCTTTTACAATTTCGCCGACTTCCCGTACAAGCTAAAATATTTAAGAAAATTAGTTGTTTGTCGGTGCCAGTTTTAGTATATTATCCTTTTTACAAACAACCTCTTTCACTCGAAGAGAGAAAAAAAAAGGAGAAAGTGTTAAAAAAAAGTAACAAATAAGGTATTCCCTAAACGGAGTCCTTCGACCTCTATCCTGTTTGTTATACGTCGATTTTATTATCGTATTTTCGTCCGGATCGCATCCAGCGGGTCAACGACTCGTTTTTAAGGACTCCGAACGATAAAAATTCCGAAAGGACTCTTATCCTTAATTTTGCTCAACGACCCCCGACGATTTAATTCAACTCCTTCGATATACTGGATAGTAAAACATTAATAGCGCTTAAAAATGTTACATTACAGCCCTTTTTACACGACGCATCCTTTTTTAATTACAGAAACTAAGGCGCGACGTTGCCACCTCACCAACGTTTTCCGTGATACCTACTCAAAATATAGACAAAAGTTTTGATAATAGGTTTGTTCCTACAAAAAGTCACTGATTTGTTACCAATAAGTTTCTGACTCTTCTATTTCGCATGCGCGGTTTATGATTGAATGGTGTAATCAAATTTCAGATTTCTTGATGGAACAGTCTTTACATTTATTACATATTAACCAAATATCAAACAACAAAACCTAATAATTAACCTATATTCAGAAATACAAATTAAACCCTAATTGAAAATGCGCTTGCGCTGGATTCTAAATCTCTGTACTATCAGCAAATTTTACTGACTATCACAAAACCAGTCCCTCGAACTGTTGGAACAATAAATTGTTAACCAAATCAGAATCAGAGATGTCTGTGGAGTTTGTTGGAACGCCTAAATTATTACTGCGCAGACTCCTGACGATCACCGACTATTTCTGACTGGTTGTAGGAACAAACCTAATGTTTGTTTCAATTTTTTACATCGTGACATCACGGATTTATTAGGATTAACACACTATATACTATAGTAGTGAATTGATTGTACGGTGAGAAAATAGGTGAATTGGCAACAAGGCCCCGTCTTTATCTAGTTTGCGTTGCGTTGCGTCGCGACGTCTAGCATCTAGCTACACCGGCGCCACTAGTTAAGCGTGCCGGCGCCCGAATTTTCTCTCGATTTACGGTTTTCTCCGTCGGGGAAAATCTCCGGGACCGGGCGCGGCGTTGCCGGCGCGCTTTTCCCACGGACACGCCTCGTTTTCTCACGGATTTTTTTGAACAAATAGATCGTTGTTTTTTCGGTGGTTGCTCTCCTCTCCTAAAAGGCGCTCGGCTCTTTCACTAATGCGCCGTCCAAATATTTTCTTTGGGACGCGAACGTGACCGCATCTCTCCGAGCCCGTTACGACGTGTCGTAGACGCGCTAGACCCTTCTTGTTTGCACCGACATCGGCCACCGGATCGCGCCCGATTTAATTGTCGTGAGAAGAAAAACGAAAACAAATTTTTTTTTGGGAAGCTCGGCTGCGGAAGCGACCGCTTCGATGGTTCGAAAATTCCGAATCAGAAGTGGGATGATATTCAGAATCAGAAGTGGGATGAAAGTAACTTTTCGCAAAACGACTCGTACTCGAAATTACTATATTTACCTCTGTAAATTGAATGTATCGGTTGGTTTTTGAACGTGCCGTGAAGGCGCCGCCTAATTTAAATTATTTATTGTTGTTACCTATACAGTGGACGAGTGAGTATATTTATGTATATAATCGGAGAGCAAGATTTTAACGAGTTTATGAATTTCTATTTAAATCAAATATTTATTTTGGACGGCTAGTGTACGGTAAGGATATTCGAGAATATTTTTCGCTATACCAAGGAGCGTCGATTTCACGTGGTAAATAATTATGAATCGAATAGATAGGTACTTGGTGGACGTATATGATGATTCGTTAGAATATGGCGAGGAAAAACAGCAATTAAAGCGTCAATTATCGAAGGAAAACTCGAGAGTTGAGCGATTTAATGGCGTTAAATGTTGCAAAATGTGTCTAATTTTTTTGATAACCATCGTATAGACATAACACTCATCTCCCCGATTAATTGGTCTGGCGCTTTCGAAACTGACCTTCATTTTTACAACCTTACTAGAAAAACGTTTAAATTGTATCGATTTTGATTGTTATTTCACAAGGTTTTTTTTCGGTTAAAGGTGCTCTTTAATTACCTACCAAACTCTAGGCAACTGGTATTGTTCTATTAATAACAATTCCATAATGGAAATGAATGATTGCAAAATAATCCCACGATTCTTCTGCTTCTAAAGCGCTACTTTAGCCTATAATAATTTTTCTTGTTTTGGTTAAATTACTAGAAAAGAGTTCAGTTATCCATATTTTTTTTAATTTTTAATATCTGAAGATTGTTGTATCTAAATTTGAAACAAATCGGAGCAAAACTAACGAAGATAAAGAACTTATACATAGGGCTATTTTTCAATAATGGATTTACTAAAAAACAACTATTTTTTAAAGTGTTTATGAAGCCGGTGAGAGGTTTAAATGAGAATTGTCCAGAGAATGATTTCGAACTGTCTTGAATGATCTAGAACTGTTCAGAATGATTCTTAAAATTCTTTGCAGGGATACCTTGATGAGGAAGCGATTATCTAATAATATAGAGGTGACAAAAAGAATCTTAAAATTGGATGGTTATAAAGGTAACATTTTTTTATAATTCCATATAAGGTAGACTGGGGCAAATGTAAAAATGGGGTAAATGTAATATTTTTACCTATTATGTTAATGTTTTATTATTTTTATAGTTCTTTTGTGCATTAGACAGGGTTTGTTTCTTATTTTTTCTTTATTATTTTGTAGTTCTGTTATTTTTTGAAATAAATAAATAAACAGCGTATCAAATTTTAGATGAACCAAATATGTATATGCAATTGCCCCATATGTTTTTCTATATAATTGTATTGCACTTTAGAACCGTTGATATTGTCAATATTTTAAAAAATATGTAAAATCGTTTTCTTCCTTTTTCAAAAAAAACTTTTTAATACCTCGATTCTTTAGTTCAGGAAGTTGTGAATTTAATGTGGCATCAGCATTTCTAATAAGAGAAAAAATAAAGCCACATTTTAGGATTTAATTTGAACTACACAAATTTTACAACCGATTTGCCCCAGTCTACCTTACTCGATACATAAAAACGGAAAATTCGCTCTTCTAACACCAAATAATCTCTGACCCATCACAAATAAAAAATACTCCAATCGACCGTTTATTAGTAACGCACGGTACACACATGAGGCGAGCGTGTGCATTCGAAAAGCGCAAGGATAACGAAAGAAGAAGCGTCCGAAACGGAAAGAGTCGCGACGCGACGCGTCCAGTAGCGTCGCGGACCGGCGGCATCGCTTAGCGTCTCGATTTCCATTCGAGTAGCGGGGATCCGAGGCACCAGTCAGTGGTGGGGCCCCGTCGTTATCTGACAATCCGCTTTCAGTGCAGCTTGGGGCTTCCGACGAGCAACGTTTCGCCTCGTGTGACATCACGTATAGTAACGCGCGCGAAGTGCCGTCGCCGTCGCCGTCGCCGTCGATTTCCCATAACATTTCCTAATTTCGATTCGAAGTGATATATAGAGCGGTAACAAACGGTCGGTTCTCAACAGTGCTTCCGACGACGAGTGATGTGATTCAGGAATGCGCCGAGCACGATCGTTCCGTGACACCTATCGCAAGGAAAATGAAGCAACGGCGTATGGTCGATCTCATGCTCTCTTGGCACCTGGATATCAGATATCAACGCTCGGACGCCGGTTCCTGAATATATCTTAAAAAACCGCACGAAACGCGCAACCGACCCAACCCTCCCACCACCCCAAACCCACCCCCCCACTCCCCCCCAACATACAAAAATTTCAACTAGACATGTACCAAAAATGCGTATGTTTTATATTTCTAGTGATCCTAGCAATATTGAGTTGTTCTGGTTTCCGCATAGATAACCTCGCGATGACGGATCTGACCAAAAAAAATTTCCAAATTTCCACTCGCGCCAACAGCGAGAGGTACTTCCGCGACGACCGGTCGCACCGGATCAGACACCACAGGCTGTGGAGGAGCCAAGCGCACAATCGATACCCCAACAACACGAAACCCCCGCAAGCCGACGCCGTCGTCTACCCCCAATCCTCATCGAAATCGTCCAACAACAACAAACTCGTGTGGCCGTACAACACCTCGTCGGACGCCAAGGAGTCCGTCTATTCGACGGGTTTCCCCGACGAACGGTTGGCCCAAATAGCCCCGACCGACGGCGGGGCGGTGGTGTCGCGGCCGCACCGCTCGCAGGGCTCCCAACGCCACACCAACACCAAGACCAACACCAAGACCAAGACCAAGGGCAAGGGCAAGAGACCTTGGTTGCCGCACCAGCCCGACGATCTCTTCACCAAGGCCTACAAGGCGCGCTTCGTGATCGCCGCGAAGCTGGAATCGAAGGGTTCGTGTAGTTATTACGTGGAGGTGAAGAAGGACTTCAAAGGGAACGTGGGGAAGGAGTTTTATCACGTGAACAAAGCGTACAAACGAATGTTGAACGGTAATTGCGATCTAGTCAGGCGGATGGACTTCTCCAAGAAGTATTTGTTGTTGTTGAACGAAACGTTGGGGTTGATCGACAAACCCAAGCCGATGCGTAAATTTAGAAGGTCGATCAAAAGGCTGAAGAGAGTATGCAAGCCTGGGTTCGGTAAGTATTTTCTTACCTCTAATAATTTATCTATAATCTTCCTATGTATGATTGTCCAGAAGTTGTTGTTGTTGTCTTTTGCGGATAGGTATTTTCATCACCTAGATCATAAGATCCTCTGTAGTTTTCCTCGGAGTACTCCGGAGTACCTCCACAAGTTTACTTTAACTTTTTTAAGTATAAATGTCAATACACTAATTGAAGATTATACACCGAGTAATTAAAAGTTTTTTTGTAACCATCAAGTAATCGGCGATTCTGCTATACTGCGAAAGCTATTAATAAGTCCAAAACAACAAATTTGGAAAAACACAATATTTACGTCTTCTTTATGAAGTGCAGGAGGCAGGTTAGCCGCCTTTAATTTATTTATTTTCCACAATTCTCCCAACAAACAACGCCTATTATTAAATCTTTAACGGGGCATTATCGACATTGTAACGCCTATTTACTATACGTTTTATACATATACACTGCTCGTCGTAATTCAATCGTTACATCGAAATTACGCGACGATTCGGGTATCAACGAGTGCGTTATAATTCCCGAAAAATCTCGACTTTTTATCAATTTAACGTCTTTTTCACCTATAATTTCGTCTCGCGGATCGTAATTTTATATTTTGGCAGTTGTTTTGGATCGAAATTGTTGGCAGCCCGGGACGCTTTTGTAATAGGTTAAAAACATTCGGGATCGTATTTCTAAATACACACATTTACGAAAATTTTCGATGTTCGTTTCTTCTCGTTAATTCATTTGGAAGTGTCCTTTTCACTAAATGGAAAAGAATCGACCTAATTCGAGACAGGAATATTGGCGCTTCCCGCGCCTTTTTGATTGTACCCACTAGACGAGAATCGATTCATTCTTCCAGTAGTATTTAAATGTCATATTCTTCTGCCAGACAATAATGGTGTGTGGCTTCTCGCTTCGCTGGCTGGGTCATCGCACAACGCCTGCATAAAACCTACACAACAGAAACTGAAACTACCGAATTTTCCGCTTATTTCTCACTTTACAAGACTCGTGGAATCGTTTGATTAATCGGAAAGTGCTCCTAATAATATATCGGAAAAGCCAGTAAATGGGAACAAAATATCGCAGATATTAATGGCGAATTTCGGACGAAGTAGCCTCGTAAAATCTGATCATTAATTATAATATAAAACGCGCAAAGCGATAGTTCTTCCTGCATCCAGAAACCATACGGTAACGATAAATAAACTCCGCGTTTTCTAATACCCTCGAATCTAATTTTATATGAAAAAAAATTAAAAATAAACTAAAGATGTCGTTAATCAAAACCACCTCCGATATTTCCTGATGATGGTCTTATTATTGCATCCATAACTCTTCGGCAAGAAGAATTAATGTTACGCAATTGTTCTAATCAATATTCATCAATATTGATGATTCTAATCAATATCATCAATATTTTACTAAATCTCCCACTAATTCTCTAACCGTGCGAAAAAACCGAATAGTTCCGGGCGATATTCGAATCGAATCGATCCTTTCCCATTAAAAAGTGCATCATAAATTTTCTGGTAATCGTCTCGATTCGATAAACAAAACACCAATTATTGTTGCATTTATTTTTATTGGCCGCCCAGTCTAAATAAACAGGAGGCGGCCGTTTGCAGTGATAAAAGAGTGATGATCGAAGGCATTTTTTCGGAAGCAATCAACTCCGATGGCATTCGATGCATCCTCGACGGTGTCGCATATGAATGCACTTATTGTTTCATTTATTGTTTCAATCGAAAGCGAAATATTTTATGCGTGCGAATTATTTTATGCGCACGTCGATAATTAGGCAGTTCATACATTGAATGAGCTTGGAAACTTTATTTTTTCGATACAATATTACGATTTTTTTTTGGAATGTTTATTAGATTATAGACGATGAAAGGGTTAATTTTTGGATCCTGTTTAGATGAAAGAAAAAGTTTTACTAAAAATATTGAACCACTCTGTATATTTGAGTATAAATTTGAACTCAGTGTACATATCTGGTGAACAGGAAAATTGAGAATAAAAAAGAATAATTCCCTGTACTTTTACACACTCTATACCAGCTGGCTCAACCGTAACACATTATGTGCAAATTCGATAATAGCGATAATTATCGTAGATTTCGGAGCGCGGTATATCGTTAACGTTAATTATACGAGGAGCGTTCGATATATACAAACAAAACATCAATTGGATTTTTATTATCGAAGCTGCGAGTAGGTAAATGAAAAATTTATGTACCGTTCGTATTTTAACGGCTTTTGACGGGTTTTTCCACAAATATTACGCGAGTTGTGAAAACAAATTTTTTGGGAAAATCGGGTCCGTTTTTGTGTTTACGGGAATTTATACAATAGAAAAAATAATCGTGTAATATCGTAATAAATTTTGCGAATTGTCGATATAAACAAAAATTCGAATGATGGTAATGTTAACCTCTGGATTTACAACTTTTTTATTACCGTAAATATTCCGAATAAATCGCGGAAAAGTGTAAATGGGGGCAAAGGATATTAAATGTATCGTTTCGAGTAATTTAAACGTTTTTATGATTATACTAAAATGTCATATCAATAAATAAATTGTAATAAAAATCCACAAGTGATCACGAGTAAAAAAATTATTGCATCAAAACTGAGAAAACAATCGAATTTAGTAAAATAATAAATATTTCTGGCGACAGTGATAAAACTAATCGAATTCTTACTAAACAGATAAGGTCGATTATTATTGATTATTATCGATTATTATTATTAAATAATAACCAGTTCAATTACCTACCTATTGAATTAAAAAAATCTGACGTGTTATAAATACAAGCGTATTTATTCATTGCAATTGAACCCAATTAACTCAGGTAAAGGCAAATTGTTCGGATTCAATTAAAAATTCTTTAGAAAGAATTTAGAATTGATCTTAGTAAATTCATTATTTTTTTACGAATAGCCTTTAACTGAGGTTCTTAAGATGATTAACAAGTAGAGGTGTGCAGATATACCAAAACAGAACAGGCATGGACATGTTTTAATGCAATTATTGTTTAATCATAGCCTATTCATGGCCTACTAAGTATATCCACAAAGCCATACCGAATAGGTTTTTTATTTTTTAATGGCTCGTCCTTTTTTTGTTATTATTCAAATTGCCGTCGCGCGGTCTCCTTTTCGGCCCGATACTTATCTAACCGTTTTATAAATAAAATTAATTAAACGATCTCCTTTTGCGAGTTCCACCAGATTGAACAAAAAAAACCACTGTTTTCGGTAATGGGATCCGAATAGAATTTCCAAAACGCGGCATTTCAGGAATATCCTTTAAATGCTCGACATAGCGGTTTTTTGTTGTTGTTGAAACAATGTTTGTATACCTTTACGAAAAACTACCTGTTTGGGTTTTTGCTTGTTTTCGTTGCGCGGGTGTCTATTATTAATTGCCAAAGAACGTTCTGTTGTTTGTGAAACGTAAAATATTTTTTTAATTTAGAATTATTTAACGTTGGAACTTTGGAAAACCTTTACAAGAGATATTTCTGGATAGGTTTAAACTAAATACGATTCTATTAAGGCCGCCAAAGCACGTCCTCGAATTCATAATTCGTGGGGTAATATAGAACTATTATTGGTTAAATTTTTCCAAAATAGATGCGATGAGATTAGTTTAACTCACTAATAGATGTTCCGTGTTTGATTACACTTGACATAAAATCAAACGTACAAGAAAGTAAAATAAGAAATCCTTTTCAAAATAGTTTAAATTCAATTCTCTAAAAATAGTTATTAAAGTGCTCTAATACTTTCCAGTGCACTGGAAATGCCTTATTTAATATTAAGTGCAAATTATCCAAAAATCTCTGAAAAACGGAAACTTTTGGCACCACTGTCGCTAGTCAAATTTGTTCTGTGATTTGACATTTATGTCAGGCCACACTATAATTTACAGGAATCTATCATCATTATTTGCTAAGATACTTTAATTAGTTTTTTATCAATTTAATACAGCCTGTGGATCAATATAAACTAGGAGACATCATTCTGTAATAAGTATTCTTCATCCTACTAAAATTATATATACATCCGTTCGAGGAAACTCGAGTCTTACTACAATTACGTTTTACCATTTAAATAGCATTGCAAATAACTGGCAGTTTTTGATTGCAATTTTCTTAAATATATAATGAAGTAGAAGAAATAAAAAAATAGGAGATATCATTGCTTGGAGTCTCTATATTAGATATAAGAAAGATTCAAATCAATTGATGAAGCCAAATTTGAATCTTACTGGAATTACCGAACCTATGTTTTCCCATTTAAAAATTACCCCGAAGTGGCGCCTATAATTTACAGAAATGTATCATCATTATTTGCTAAGATACTTTAATTAGTTTTATCAATTTAATACAGCCTGTGGATCAATATAAACTAGGAGACATCATTCTGTAATAAGTATTCTTCATCCTACTAAAATTATATATACATCCGTTCGAGGAAACTCGAGTCTTACTAGAATTACGTTTTACCATTTAAATAGCATTGCAAATAACTGGCAGTTTTTGATTGCAATTTTCTTAAATACATAATGAAGTAAAAGAAATTAAAAAATAGGAGATATCATTGCTTGGAGTCTCTATATTAGATATAAGAGAGATTCAAATCAATTGATGAAGCCAAATTAGAATCTTACTGGAATGTTTACTGGAATGTTTTCCCATTTAAAAATTACCCCGAAGTGGCGCCCTTAAGAAAATGCTCCCAGCAATTTTCCTTTCGATTTTAAACGTAAAAGACTGTTTGTTCGCGGTCCGCTATATTGAGTATATCGGGTATTGCGGCCGAGCCCCGCGTGTTATAACTTATAAGTCTATTTCTGGGTTGTCTAGCCTGCACGGTCCCGTCTTGCCAAACGCCCGCCGCCCGGCGCGCCCCCTCGCCCCGGCCTCGTCCCCTAAACGCTCCACTCGGCGCTCCGATCCTCTCAATCTGTTCAGC